AGCAAAAAAACCTGTCATCAAGGCAGAACATCGTAAGGCTGTGAGTGCCAGTATCCTTTCATCTAGTGCAGGGGATGAAATGATGTGAGCCCAGGGCACAGGGATCTAACTGCAGATTGGTTTGCAAGATCAGGAACTATGGGCTTCATTCTACTTCCACTGAAATAATTGGGAGTTGCTACATTGACATCAATGAGAGTTGATGGTTTCAAACACTGGGTGGGAGGGGAAAAAGAGGGTAACAGCAATAAGATCATGATGTGGCTTTTGCTGCTAATGCTCGTCATGAGATTACGAACACAATAATGTAATGCCTTAAGTACAGTTGTATTTTTCTCCTGTATAGCTGTTACAAAAAACACCCCTCAACATTTAATTTCAACATTTACAGCTGTTGCCATTATTAGTAATGACATATCATGTACTTCTGTAACACAGTGAAGACAAGAGAAGACAAGTGGATGGGTCACTACAAAAACTAAAAACTAATTTCCCCATGCTAATTTCCCCCTACTGTTACTCACACCTTCTTGTCAACTGTTTGAAATGAGCCACCCTGATTACCACTACAAAAGTGATTTTCTGTCCTGTTGATAATAGCCCATTTTAATTAAATTGTCTCATTAGAACTGACCCCCCCACTTGGTAAGACAACTCCCATCTTTTCATGTATTGTTATATATATCTTCCTACTGTGTTTTCCACTCCATGCCTCTGAAGTGGGTTTTAGCCCACAAAAGCTTATGCCCAAATAAATGTGTTTTCTCTAAGGTGCCACAAGTACTCCTTGTTGTTTTTGCTGATACAGACTAACATGGCTACCACTCTGAAACCTGTCACAAGTGATCCAGTAGTTAATGTGCTCACCTGGAACATTGGAGACCTGCTGTGTTCAAGTCCTTGCCTGCCACAGGCTGGCCTGTGTGACCTCAGGCTAGTTAACTAGTCTCTCTGTGCCTCAGTCCCCTCCGTAAGAATCATAAGGCTGGAAGGGACCTTGTGAGGTCAATTAATCCAGCTCCTGTGCTGAGATACAGCAGAGTAAACCTAGACTTTCCCAGACAGCTGTTTGTCTAACTTGTTCTTAAAAACCTCATCACAGGGATTCAACAACCTCCCTCAGAAGCCTATTCCAGTACTTAACTATCATTACAGTTAGAAAGTTTTTCCTAACATCTAACCTAAATCTACTTCACTGCAGATTAAACTGATTACTGTTTGTTCTGCATTCAGTGCTGTGGAGAACAATTGATCACCGTCCTCTTTACAACAGCCCTTAACATAGGTGAAGATTATTAACAGGTTCCTCCTCGCTCTTTTATCATTTTTGTTGCTCTCCCCGGGCTCTCTCCAATTTGGCCACATGTTGCCTAAAGTATGGTGCCCAGAACGGGAGACAGTATTTCAGCTGAGGCCTCGCCAATGCTGAACAGATAATACCATATGCCTGTTAATATAGCCCAAAATGATACTAGCCTTTTTCGTAGCTGCATCACATGGTAGTCTCATAATCCATTTGTGATCCACTCTAACCCCCAGATCCTTTTCTGCACTATTTCTGCCTAGCCAGTTATTCCCCAGATATGGGGATAATAGTACTTCCCTACCTTATAGTGATGTTGTGAGTTGCTCAAATGCTACAGTAATGAGGTCAAATAAGTACCTAAGAGAGTACAGAAATGAGACATCCAGCCAGTTGTTAATAGGAAAATGTCTTCCTCAAAGTAAAGAAAAAAGCAAGCTGAGAAGGGCTGATCTATGGGGAAAAATGCACTCCATTTAGGGGAAATATGTCCCCAACCCTTCTTCCTGTTCAGAATCATTATCTGTGCTTCCCAGGAGACTGTGGCTTCAACTTGTGCTGAAATTTCACATGCTTGTTTGCTTTAGTATATAAATGAACAGACAGCAAGAGCTACATTATACAATATTCATGCTGTCTCCAGGATACAGCCTCTCTTTTTGTACCACTCACATTATTTTCCACAGCTGGTACATAATGTAAGTAAGTGGTAAAGGTGACTTTCATGGAAAATTAGAAGATAAATAAAATAGTTTTGGCTCATTTCTTCCATGGTGGTTCTTGCTTTCTTTCTTGTTAAATTAATATATGAGAAATTAACTAATACAACTAAGGGGCTGCAAATTCTATGAGAGAGATGGCCCTGTACAGAGCGCCACAATGGCGTGCATGGCACCCCTCATCTTTAATATAGAGAGCTGCCTGGTCCGCTTAAATCCACAGAGTTAATAATGGAACCCTGCATGCTAGGATTCGTCATCTTCACAGAGCCTGACTCCATAGCAAGAGAAGAGGGTGGCAGTCTTCTCTATTGTCTGCATATTAGGTGTGGGCTTTGTTTTCTGGCCATGTTGTCAACTCGGAAAAGTTTGGAGCCTCAAATCCAAATAGTTTTGTAGGGCAATATTGCTACCCCTTTTGACCTCTGTGGTTAACTAAAATTGGGGTTAAGTGGGTTGTTGCCATTAGGAGAAACTGATGATAATGTCACATATGTTGTTGTTTCCCTGACCACAGTAGAAATCAAATGTCAGGAGATAGTTTCACAGTTCCAAGCCTCTTTCCAGCCAGCACTCCACCTAAAAACTCCCTCTCTAGGCTTTTGTCAGGGTCATGCTATGAGGGCTTCTCTTTTGTCTGAGGCTTCTTTGCTACTTCTCTGCATGCTCCTGTGGTGCTTCTGCCTTCTTTCACACAAACACACAGCTGCAATCAATTCAATCCCCTGCCCTGTACTTACATTCAGCCCCTAGTGAAACTCCTCTGTCCACATAGTTCAGATTCCTGAATGGCTTTAAATGCAGCCTGTGCTTTGGGCAGTGGCAACTATTGTTTCAACTATCTCTAAACTAAAGAGTATTTAATTGTTCCCACATTTAGCCTGAAAGGAAGGCAGCTGCTCTGCCTACTATCTTCTACAAGCCTCTCCCTGCTTCCGCAGAATAACAACGTGATTTTAAAAACATAAGTAATTCTGTGCTTGTTTGCGCAATGTTCTTCCAGCTTGCAATCCTTTCATAGTAATGCTGGTGTCAGGGTTCTGGAACGTAGATAGAGAGGTTAATGGAGTTTGCCCCACAGTGACCACAAGCCCCTAAATTGTCCCGGGGCAGCCCATCACCACACCACCTTGAATGGGTGGCTCCACAACAGCCCATACTGATCATGGATCACACTTATTCCACAGATGGTCCTGCCCTAAATTGCACTGCCTCTTGACAGTGACTTCGAGAAGTTGCAACCCCACCCCTCCAAATCACTTCCCCTCTGAGCTCCACACAATGATTTTCCCCTTCCCTCATTCTTTCAACAGTAATGTGGAGACAGGAGGACAAAGTCCACAAGGTCCCATTCATCCCCCATGCCTCCAGAGAGGCTCTGTTGGTAACCCCCTCAAGATGGTGGTGAAACTTGGTCCATAGTTCCTACTGAATCATGCACAAAAGCAAAAATGTTTAAGTGTCCTAAACATTCTCAATCCTGCAAACATATGCTTAACTTTGCATGTGTTAGTGGTTCCACTGAAATCAACAAGACTACCCTCGTGCAAAAACTTATGCATATGTATAAGTATTTGGTGGATCAGTACCTAAGGTAAGTGAATCCACACAAGCCCACGCACATCTAGTTGCAAGATTTGGACCTATAAAGAGAAAGCCAAAAGGCAACGGGTAGAGATACACCATACACACAGAGTGATCAGAGCGGTGGCAGACATGTCATGTTACCTTGATTGTTTTTTTTTGTTTTAATTTTCTGAACTGCCCTTGCTGATAGGAATACATTTTTTAAAAAATCACTTTTTGCCTATTTTCTAATTTTTCAAGTGAATGCTTATTAATTGCCCTTGGCTGGTCCATATTTAACCTTTGCCCAATTCCTTTTAGAATTTCATTAATCACTGTTGTCTGTTGCATTTTATGATACTTTTGCCTATTTTCTAGCATATTTGCCAGAAGCTGGGAATGGGCGACAGGGGATGATCACTTGATGATTACCTCTTCTGTTCATTCAGCACCTGGCGTTGTCCACTCTCGGACTAGATGGACCTTTGGTCTGACCCAGTATGGCCATTCTTATGTCAATTCATTTTATTCACCACCCTCGCCTTTTGTATGTGTGGGAGAGAGGAACAAAGAAAGGCAGGCATTTATTTGTGGTTTTATTTATTTTGCAGACCTCTGCCCACTTTTACTTTTTCCTGTAACAGTCTGTACGAGCGTCTCACTGCTCGGTAGGAATCCTGCCCCTCCTCTAACTCCCCCAAACTCATGTCATCTAGCACTGCCAACTCTTGTGCTTTTATAGCAAATCATATGATTGTTGATATATTTCTGAAAGCCCCAGCTCCTGGAGGCATGTGATTAGGCTTTCGTTCAAAAAAAAAAAAAGTTTTTAGCCCTCCAGCCAGAGAAAAACTTGATTATGTCACACAAGAGCAGGGCAAAGGCTCAGGCACAGGAAGGCACATCAAATGAACCCTTCATTTACTAATTTTTAAGTACGATTTGGTGGGGCCCACTCGTTATTTTGACACACTTGGGGTCACCAACACTAGCCCCAACCGAGCAATAAAAAAAGCCACGAGTCAGGCCCCCCGAAACCATGAGACTGGCTTTAAAAACAGCCACCCGGCTCTTTCCAAAGCCGAGCATTCGGGGCTCCCCGCCTGAGCCCTCAGCCCGCCCCGCGGCATCCCCCCGCCTGAGCCCTGCGCGCCACCAGGGCTGGGCCCTCGCGTTCCAAGCCGCAGCAAAAGTTCCCGCGCTCGCGCAGCACCCCGGGGGCTGGGTCCGCGCGCCGCCCTGAGCAGCAGGAGAGGAGCACAGAGCGCAGACCCTGCCCCGCCTCTCCCGCACAGCCACGCCGAAAATGAGCTCCTACTCCCACCCTGACACTCCACTGCGCATGCCCAACAGCACCGTGCGGGGGCTCTTGCGCATGCTCACTAGCAATCGGAGGGGGGCGGGACTTCACACGGCAGCCCCGGAAATAAGCAGGTCAGCTGACCGGAAGCAATGGAGCAAAGCAAGATGGCGTCTCCCAAGAGCGCGCCTAAGGATGCTCAGGTAGCGGGGGGCTCCCAGTGGGGGCGTCGCGGGCCGGGCTGGGTGGAGGGGCTCGGCGGGGCGGCTCCGGGGCGTCCTCGGTGCAGCGACTGCGTCCTGTGCTCGGCTGCTGCTGAGGCGAAGGAGCGCTGAGAAGCTGGGGGCGCTAGCCCCAGAGCACTGTGTGCCCAGCCCCTTGCGCCCTTGGCAGGGGGGTGTTAGCGCCTGATCTAATGGACTCACGCTGTATTTCTCTTCCCCGAACGCAGGTTATGGCCCAGATCCTGAAGGACATGGGGATCACGGAGTATGAACCACGGGTTATCAATCAGATGTTGGAATTCGCCTACAGTAAGTTGTCAAAGTGCTACCTACAGAACATGCTGCGCTGCCTTTCCAGGTGTGGCCTCCCCGAGGCGGTACCGGGCACCCCTCTCACACGGGCTATTGCAGAAGTGGCAGGGCTTCGGAGAGAGTCAGTGAGGATGATCAAAGACCTGGGAAAACTGGAGACCAATAAGAGGGACTGTTTGAGAAGTAATTAGAGTAATGAATGGTATGGAGAAGGCAGATCTGGAGTGCCTGCCTGTCTTAGCATAGGAGAACAAGTGGATGTTCAATTAAATTAAAAAGGGAAAATTCAAAACCAATAAAAGAAAATATGTTTGCACATGACTTGTAATTAAATTGTGGAATTAATTGCCAGAGGAGATCATTGTGGTCAAGAACTTATCAAGATTCAGAAGGTGATTGCATATTTATAGGTATCGAAAGAATATCCAGAGTTATCAGTAATAACAATAAAACTGTAGGAAACAATAGTAAACCTTGTGTTTCAGGGCTTAAACCAATTTCTGATTAGCAGAGATCAGGATGATCTTATGTTATTGTCAGAAGCATCTAGTTCTGGATACTTGTAGACAACGTACTGGGCTAGGTGGACTGCTGGTCTGATCCAGTATGGCGGTTTCCATGTTCCTAACTCTCCAATATATGGCACAGAAAAAGAAAAGAAAAATTTGGATATTTAGAAGGTTTGTGGTGCGGTGTGTTGCTGCTGTAGAGTTTCACCTGTGGAATTTTTGGCTCCAATCTTAGCATGAGAACAAAAGTAAAAATGAGTCCATCGCCATTTAAAAAAAAAATTATATGGAAAACCCACCACATTATTTGGCACAATTTGCAAATGTTGCTGATGAGATGCCCTGGACTGTGGCACAGGTGGGAGTGATATTGCATGCTAGGTTTCATGTACATAAACAAATGCTTGATAGAAAAACTTGTACTGTCTTGCACAAGTCATTGCTATTAGCTTTTCAATGAGCACAATTGTTTTAAAAAAATTTTTTTGAAGAAAAAGAGGAACTATTGGAAATAAAACTAGATGGGTACTAAGGGATTAATTTTTGTCACAATAAATGTATTGTTGATTGTGACGAGACAGATTCATCTTTTGTTTTGTGGAATGTGTATCAGGAAATAATGTTCTTTCATAGCTTCTAGAAAACCTGTAGAGTACATGAACTTTTACCAAATTTTTGTGAAGAGAAGTTGCTATTTTTTTAGACATGTGCATCGGGAGATATTCTGTTTTGTTCTTCGAAGGGTATGTGACTACTATATTGGAAGATGCAAAAATTTACTCAAGTCATGCTAAGAAGTCCAGTGTTGATGCAGATGATGTGAGACTAGCAATCCAGTGTCGAACAGACCAGTCATTTACCTCTCCTCCCCCAAGAGATGTAAGTAAAGCTTATTTAGAGAATCATTATATAACAAAAGAACGTGGGTATTGATAACTATTTCCCTTTTTCTCCCCCCTAGTTTTTGCTAGATATTGCAAGACAAAAGAATCAAACCCCACTGCCATTGATAAAGCCATATTCTGGACCCAGACTACCACCTGATAGATACTGTTTAACAGCTCCAAATTACAGACTTAAGTCCTTGCAAAAAAAGGTAAGAGTTTTATGAGCCAAATGGGATTTTTGTGTGATGATGATGACATTTTATTAAACAGGATGCTCAAATTATTCAGTTTTTCTCAAGGTACAAACATAGGTGCAAATACCAGTAGAGATCTCTGGGTGCTAAAGTATATGGAAATTATTTCTGGCAATTGCCAGAAATAATCTGCTGTTTGCAGATATTCTTTCCACCAATTTACCTTTTAATATTGTGTGTAAAAGAGGCTGTGTTGTTTAATGGTTAGCACAAAGGATTTCAGGTTAGGTGTATCCTGGTGGACCATTCAGTCAGCTCAGCTGGACTATTGGGTAAAAGGTGCAAAGTCATTGAAAATCAGACACAGAATCTAAACAAAGCTTTCCTGGATAAATAAATGCTAAAGTGAAGACTTGTCCTTTGGTTAGATTGCTTTAGCCTATGCAAAATGACATACTATACTGAAAAAGCAAATCAAAGTAAATTGTATTGCTTCTTATTAATGTAATAGTAGTATTTGTTAGTCACGTATACTGTGAATAGTGCAATAATTTTCAGTATTACTCAAAACTAGCAATGCACTTTCATTATAAATGATTGGTTAGTATCTGTAACTACAATATTAAAATTGGTTAGTGCTATCACAATATTAAAACACTGCTATAACTGTAGCAACGCTTCCCTTGTAAACACTATCCAGGTAACAAATTTCATCCTGAGCCAAAACAAAGTTTAGAAGGCCTTAGTCTGTAAGTGGTGTGTTTAAAATTAAATCTTTAATGTAATTTCTTTTACATTTGTATAACTCAAACAGCTTAAGTTTTTAAAAGATTCTGCACTTTGTGCATAAGCATGGTGGATTAGTGGTTCCACAAGGCATCTCTACTGAAATGTAGTTCACAGTGTGAGGAGTTTGAGAACTTCTGTCCCAGTGGGTAAATTCTGTGACATAAGTGTTGCATTGCAGTAGGCTGCGCATGATCACATGTTCATATTTTGTTACTCTTCCATGTTGCAGAGGATACACGTGTTATCACAGAAATAATCAATGGTTCTTAACACTGAAATGGTGGTTCTAATCTGAATGCATATATTCTCTATCTACAGGTCTCTTCCTCTGCGGGAAGAATAACAGTGCCCCGACTAAGTGTTGGTGCTGTAAGTAGTAGACCTAGCACGCCTACGTTAGGTAAGAGGGAACTCAGTTATGGTTTGCCATATTGACCTTGCTTAGAAAAAACTTTAAACTTATGGAACAGTTCTAAATTTTGAAGAATAGTCTTACCTGTTAAAAACCATCTTGGAGTATGTTTTTAAGGAACAGTAGATAACATCCAACTCACCATTTCAGTGAACTTTGATATCTTAACAACCTAATGAGTTTTTAGGAAAGTGCAATGGAAGTTAAATGAAAATAAGTTTCTCTCTAAGTTACCAAAGCTAGACCATTTTTATTTAGTATGTAGGAATGATAATACCATTCTTGTATTTCTGACCTGTTCTATAAAATGGAAACTGTGGCACTTTTTCAGGAGAGAAAAAGTGAACTAGTTGAATGACTTTTAAAAAAGTACAAACTACATTCTGAGGAGGGCTTACACCCTGAAGTATAGATTGAAACAGGTTTTTTACTGACTCAGCTATTTTGAACCAGAATTTAAGTTGGGCACATGCAATGATATACATGTAACCATGCATGTGCTTCTGGCCAGCTGGGAGTTTCACTACTTGTGTTCATACACAAATGTATGAATGCTGCTGCACACAGCTTACTCTGCATATCTGGCCATTTGTTAGGATCTAGATCAAACCTAGCTATGAAGTATCAATGTATATTGATATTATTTAATAGTAATTTATCTCTTTTCTATAGGAAAGTAATTTATCTCTTTTCTATATGAAAGTAGCAAGTTCAGTTTTTTTGAAGACATTTTATGTAATGTAAAGAGTTGTGTATTTGCCTGCACTGAGTCCTCTAATGAAATCATTGTGTATTTCAGGAACTCCTTCAGCACAAACAGTAGCTGTTTCAACAAAAGTTGGCACTCCGGTATCACTGACAGGTCAAAGGTTCACTGTACAAATCCCATCCTCTCAGACAACAGTCAAATCAGGTATGGCATAAGTTACAAAACACCAATCTCTTGAGACCTACACCACTTCTTTAAAAGACCACATATATTGGTTATTTTGTTTTTTTCTTCTATTGAGGTGCAAGAGATCTGCATGGTGGATCTAGAGGTTCTAACCCTATTGATGACCCATGTGGTTAATGTGATACCACATGATGGAATTTGTTTCTTCCATTTTCTCTTTTAAAAACCTAGGAAGCTAGACACACACACACACACACACACTTACTTAAGATTTAAAAGTCAAGTGCTCAAAAGGCATGAAATGCCAGAATTAAGCTTGTCTTTTCAACTTTATTTTGGTCCTCAATTCTTAGTCTTAACATAACCAGTACAAATGTACCAAAGCCATTGTTAGTCTTACTTAGCTATTGAAATAATTCACTTTCTGCTACTAAACAATTACAGATTCTCTTAATCAGTAAAATTGTCATAGATCCTACTTAGACAGACAGACAGCACAAAACTTCCTTTAAGGACTAAGCCTGTTTAAAAACAAACGAACAAAAACAAGCAACCAGAGTTGTAGTTATGTTCCTGAAAAATGCTACTTTAAGCAAATCCAATTTCCCTATTAAACAAACAGTTTAATATTATACACAGCAGGGATGATTGTGAAGCTTGGTTGAGGTGGTGAAGTCAGAGGGTGGGATATTCCTCAGGGAATGCCTTACTGCTAAATGATGAACTAGCATTTGGCAGAGCTCTCAACGGTTAACACATTGTTGTTAATGTAGCCTCACAGTCTACAAGGCAGCACGAATGGAGGGAGGGGAGACAGCATGGCAGAGAGAGGCAGACACACACTGTATGTGTGTGTGTGTGTGATGCGTATTGCCCCTTTAAGTACACTGACCCCACTCTAAGTACATTGCCTTTTTAAGTAGATCAGCAAGTTGAGACAGCAGCTGCTGCCAAGAAGCTCCCTCTGTCCTGAGCCCTGTCATATCCCCCACTGCTCTGTGGAAATGGGGTAAATTAGCGGGGGTAGGGGAATACCCTGACTTTCTTCTCTTCTCCCCCTTCTCCTTGCACAGCAAGCAGGAGGCTCCTGGGAGCAGCTCCTAGGCAGAGGTCGGGAGCAGCTCCTAGGCAGTGGGGGGAGGGAGAGCTGAACTGCCTGTCAACTGGTAGCCTGCTGGGCTGCTGCTGTACAGGGAACTTAGGGGCTGCTGGTCCATCCTGGTTCCAAACTCCCACCAGCTAGCTCCAACGGGCTGCTCTTTCTGCAAGCAGTGGACAAAGCAGGCGGCTGTCAAACAACGTTATAAGGGAGCATTGCACAGCTTTAAAGGAGCATGTTCTCTAATTGATCAGCAACGTAACAATGAAACAATGTTAACCGGGACAACTTTAAGTGAGGACTAGCAAAACCTGACAGAAACAATATAGCAAATTTCAATTTAAGCTTTGCAACAAATCCACAATTATGTGATGGAAACTCCATTGAACATTATTGAAAATAAACAGGAATATTAGCATGCAGCACACCTTTCGCCTTTAGGATATTACATGTCCTATAATAGGAAACTATATTTTCATTAGCTTGAAATACTAACTATATTTTTGTGGCAATGGCAGCTAATAAACACTTTTCCTTTTAAATACAGCAACGCCTACTACCCCTACAGTTCAGAATGTTCTGATTAATCCTTCATTAATTGGATCAAAAAACATTCTGATTACTACAAATATGGTATCATCACAGAATGCAGCCAGTGAGGCAAATCCATTGAAAAGGAAGCATGAAGATGATGACGATTATGATAATTTGTAAAGGGATACAGTCCAGTCTCCATACTTTTTCAGAGGTGTGATTCATATTGAGTCTGATGCCAAGTTGGAACTTGCCAAAATGTTGTTCACAAATTGTGACAGAAAATGTGTAAATATTCAGAGTTAATGGAATCAGGAGAAGAATGATAGTGCCAGGATAACGATGCTGCAATAAAAGCTGTTTTTTAACCGTGTCTGTGATTCAAAATTGCTTTTGGTGCTCACTCACCATGATGTTCATTATTATTCAGGATTTCTGTCTTGTACCATAGTTATGTACATCTTTCCCTCTCCTCTTGAGTGTGTTGCTTGTAATTCAAATAGAAATGCTTGAAATTTTGAAGAGTGCAGTTTCTGCCAGATGCTTTTCTTACTATACTGTCTAAGAGAATTTTTAAAAAGGAGTCAGAGGTAGGTGTAGACTTTGAAAGGACAATTTTTTTTTTTTTAAACTAGGTTTGAAGTTGGTGTCAATTTTTAAATAACCAGAAAAAGTCTTGGTTTAGTTCTTGAGAACGTTCTTTTTCTGCTCCTGAGCTGCTACGCAGATTTCAGAGTAACAGCCGTGTTAGTCTGTATTCGCAAAAAGAAAAGGAGTACTTGTAGCACCTTTGAGACTAGAAAAGAGGGGAACGATCACGTCCCTCGATCTGCTCGCTATGCCCCTACTTATACATCCCAAAATGCCATTGGCCTTCTTGGCAACAAGGGCACACTGCTGACTCATATCCAGCTTCTTGTCCACTGTCACCCCTAGGTCCTTTTCCGCAGAACTGCTGCCTAGCCATTCGGTCCCTAGTCTGTAGCGGTGCATTGGATTCTTCCATCCTAAGTGCAGGACCCTGCACTTATCCTTATTGAACCTCATCAGATTTCTTTTGGCCCAATCCTGCAATTTGTCTAGGTCCTTCTGTATCCTATCCCTCCCCTCCAGCGTACCTACCACTCCTCCCAGTTTAGTATCATCTGCAAATTTGCTGAGAGTGCAATCCACACCATCCTACAGATCATTTATGAAGATATTGAACAAAACCGGCCCCAGGACCGACCCTTGGGGCACTCCACTTGATACCGGCTGCCAACTAGACATGGAGCCATTGATCACTACCCGTTGAGCCCAACAATCTAGCCAGCTTTCTACCCACCTTATAGTGCATTCATCCAGCCCATACTTCCTTAACTTGCTGACAAGAATACTGCGGGAGACCGTGTCAAAGCTTTGCTAAAGTCAAGAAACAATACATCCACTGCTTTCCCTACATCCACAGAACCAGTAATCTCATCATAAAAGGCAATTAGATTAGTCAGGCATGACCTTCCCTTGGTGAATCCATGCTGGCTGTTCCTGATCACTTTCCTCTCATGCAAGTGCATCAGGATTGATTCTTTGAGGACCTGCTCCATGATTTTTCCAGGGACTGAGGTGAGGCTGACTGGCCTGTAGTTCCCAGGATCCTCCTTCTTCCCTTTTTAAAAGATTGGCACTATATTAGCCTTTTTCCAGTCATCCGGGACTTCCCCGGTTCGCCACGAGTTTTCAAAGATAATGGCCAATGGCTCTGCAATCACAGCCGCCAATTCCTTCAGCACTCTCGGATGCAACTCGTCCAGCTCCATGGACTTGTGCATGTCCAGCTTTTCTAAATAGTCCCTAACCACCTCTATCTCCACAGAGTGCTGGCCATCTTTTCCCCATTTTGTGATGCCCAGCGCAGCAGTCTGGGAGCTGACCTTGTTAGTGAAGACAGAGGCAAAAAAAGCATTGAGTACATTAGCTTTTTCCACATCCTCTGTCACTAGGTTGCCTCCCTCATTCAGTAAGGGGCCCACACTTTCCTTGGCTTTCTTGTTGCCAACATACCTGAAGAAACCCTTCTTGTTACTCTTAACATCTCTTGCTAGCTGCAGCTCCAGGTGCGATTTGGCCCTCCTGATTTCATTCCTACATGCCCGAGCAATATTTTTATACTCTTCCCTGGTCATATGACCAACCTTCCACTTCTTGTAAGCTTCTTTTTTATGTTTAAGATCCGCTAGGATTTCACCATTAAGCTAAGCTGGTCGCCTGCCATATTTACTATTCTTTCGACTCATTGGGATGGTTTGTCCCTGTAACCTCAAAAGGGATTCCTTGAAATACAGCCAGCTCTCCTGGACTCCTTTCCCCTTCAAGTTAGTCCCCCAGGGGATCCTGGCCATCCGTTCCCTGAGGGAGTCGAAGTCTGCTTTCCTGAAGTCCAGGGTCCGTATCCTGCTGCTTACCTTTCTTCCCTGCGTCAGGATCCTGAACTCAACCAACTCATGGTCACTGCCTCCCAGATTCCCATCCACTTTTGCTTCCCCCACTAATTCTACCCGGTTTGTGAGCAGCAGGTCAAGAAAAGCTCCCCCCCTAGTTGGCTCCTCTAGCACTTGCGCCAGGAAATTGTCCCCTACGCTTTCCAAAAACTTCCTGGATTGTCTATGCACCGCTGTATTGCTCTCCCAGCAGATATCAGGAAAATTAAAGTTACCCATGAGAATCAGGGCATGCGATCTAGTAGCTTCCGTGAGCTGCCAGAAGAAAGCCTCATCTACCTCATCCCCCTGGTCCGGTGGTCTATAGCAGACTCCCACCACTACATCACTCTTGTTGCTCACACTTCTAAACTTAATCCAGAGACACTCAGGTTTTTCTACAGTTTCGTACCGGAGCTCTGAGCAGTCATACTGCTCCCTTACATACAGTGCTACTCCCCCACCTTTTCTGCCCTGCCTGTCCTTCCTGAACAGTTTATAACCATCCATGACAGTACTCCAGTCATGTGAGTTATCCCACCAAGTCTCTGTTATTCCAATCACGTCATAGTTCCTTGACATCACCAGGACCTCCAGTTCTCCCTGCTTGTTTCCAAGGCTTTGTGCATTTGTATATAAGCACTTGAGATAACCTGTTGATCGCCACTCATTCCCAGTATGAGGCAGGAGCCCTCCCCTCACAGACATTCCTGCCTGTGCTTCCTCCCGGTATCCCGCTTTCCCACTTACCTTAAGGCTTTGGTCTCCTTCCCCCGGTGAACCTAGTTTAAAGCCCTCCTCACTAGGTTAGTCAGCCTGCTGGCAAAGATGCTCTTCCCTCTCTTCGTAAGATGGAGCCCGTCTCTGCCCAGCACGCCTCCTTCATGGAACACCATCCCATGGTCAAAGAATCCAAAAAGCCTTCTCTCCGACACTACCTGCGTAGCCATTCGTTGACTTCCACGATTCGACGGTCCCTACCCAGGCCTTTTCCTTCCACAGGGAGGATGGACGAGAACACCACTTGCGCCTCCAACTCCTTTATCCTTCTTCCCAGAGCCATGTAGTCCGCAGTGATCCGCTCAAGGTCATTCTTGGCAGTATCATTGGTGCCCACATGGAGAAGCAGGAAGGGGTAGCGATCCGAGGGCTTGATGAGTCTCGGCAGTCTCTCCGTCACATCGCGAATCTTAGCCCCTGGCAAGCAGCAGACTTCTCGGTTTTCCCGGTCAGGGCGGCAGATAGATGACTCAGTCCCCCGGAGGAGAGAGTCCCCGACCACCACCACCTGCCTTCTCCTCTTCAGATGAAGTGTTTTCATGCTATCCCAAATCTGGAATACCATAATTTACCTTATGGCATATTGTTTTTTAATATTTCCTCTCATTCAACTGCAGCTGCCTATTAAGCATGTCTGTAGTGGTCCCTAGGTTGTGTTGATACATTGAATTTAGAACATCAGGGGCAGGAGATTAAAGGGGGTGGGGGAGTACATAATGTCAGGGTAGGCTCCCTCCCTCCCTGGCTGCACTGCCCCCCTCCCTCTGACCCCTCCCTGGCTCTGGAAAGTGGCCGGAACCAGGCAGCAGGGCAGTGGCACAGGGGTCTGTGTGTTGCCCTTGGAGCTTTGGGGGAGGTACCTGGAAGAGTGGCCAGGGCAACACACAGACCCTCCAGTGTGCCGCTGCTCCCCCCACCCCTGGGTTCTGGCCCCTTCACAGAGTGGTGTGGGGGCAGGCAGGCAGCCTGCCTTGCCCTCTGTGTGTGCTGGGCTGGACCCAACCCCCTGCCCTGAGCCCCCTGTGGGGGCAGGGAAGGGGTGGAGTGGGTGGTCAGTGGTGCAGCCCTCAGGCTAATGTACTAGTCCTCATGTGGCCCTTGTGGTCATTTGAGTTTGAGACCCCTGTATTAGACTAACTGCTGTTGATGGAGAGAAGCTTTTGAGCTGTGCAGAGCTCTTCTCTTTCACCAGCTAAGGTAGTAGAGTAGATTTGTTTAAAGACAGTGAATGTGCAACTCACACTGTTTGAGTACCACTGGAAGTGGTGAGAATTAATATAGCAATACTGTGGTAGGATATATGAAAACTTGCAAAAGAAGAACGTGCTACATTGGACTGAGCACTTTAGCCATTTTGAAAACAGGGCCTAGTCGCCTTTAGCAAATCATATGGGCTTTTACAAAATAGATTTCTGGTAGCTTCATAATTAAAGTGATTGTGGCTTGAAAGAAAATGGTACTCTGCAAGCAATAACTTGTGAGAGCTGAAATAGTTGACAGTGACAGTCCAATAAACTATATAAAGAAACTTATCCTGCATCTTCAGTTGGTGTAGTTCTTGGCTGATACTCAACAGGAGGGCTGTTTGTCCTAGTACACTGAGCAAGGCACACCATATGAAGTGGAGAGTCTCAGCATAGGAGCAATTAGATGCATACGATAGCTATTAACAAGTGCTTATGCAAGAAGCCACTGTGACCACTTTCAATAGTAGTAGCCAGTAGCATAGCTGCAGCATGCAGCAGTGGGAAATGCTGGAAGATCATTCCAATTGCTTTATTTAATGTTATGTCAGATCCTGTATTCCACAAGTCAGTGCTGTAAGCTAATTGCCCCTAGAAAGTAGTTTCTGGATTGCAGTTTTAACTGTACAGCCAGCTGAAAATTCATATCAACCAAGGAGTTGTTCCAAAGTGAAAGAAGGGTAGGGATGAAATTCAGGGTCTTCCTTAAAGTGGGGAAAACCTTGACATTTCAAAATGTACAAAGATGGGACTTGCAATTTGTGCAGATACCTGGGGAAAGAATTCAGTTACTAACTCCGACCCCTCCCCAGCTAGCAGCCCATCTACAGTAGTTGAGGTTTTTTTTGCTACTGGTTATCACATGGCATATAGGTAGTCCTAATATACCATCT